GCTAATTTGTGAGCTTGAGAAGTGTTTGTAGGTGAATTTTGTTTCTTCTGGACAGAGCCAAGCTAGCTGCCCCCCAAACATGCCAGCATCAATTTGACATACAATACAGACGACAAAAGATTTTGATATTTTGTCGGTTTTAAGAAGTGCTGTTAAGTAACCAAAATCCAACATCTTCCAAATGTCATGCCAGTGTCATCTTAATGTAGAATACTGACATTTAGCCTTGAGGTATGCAAAACAAAACCCATCGTCTGCAGAATGTCATAATGTTAACGTCTACACAACGTCAAATTCTAACATTGTCAGACATTTTAAATATTGTCAACCCGATTTTCATTCCGACCAAAATTTAATGTCTGACCAGACCAAAATGAGTTTCCTCCGTGGGGTGGCTGGGCTCAGCTTTAGAGATAGAGTGAGGAGCTCAGACATCCACAGGAAGCTCGGAGTAGAGCCTCTGCTCCTTCACTTTGAAAGAGGAGTCAGTTGAGGTGGTTCGGGCATCTGATCAGGATGCCTCTTGGGTGCCTCCCGCTGGAGGTGTTTCGGGAACATACCACTGGTAGGAGGCCCCAGGGCAGACCCAAAACACGCTGGAGGGATTACATATCTCATCCGGCCTTGGAACGCCTTGGGGTCCCCCAGGAGGAGCCGGAGAGTGTTGCTGGGAAAAGGGATGTCTGGGGCGCTTTGCTCGGCCTGCTGCCCTTGTGACCTGGCTCTGGATAAGCGGATGAAAATGGATGGATAGATGGACCAGTGTGAGAGTCTAACGTCTCTCTGACATCATATGAACGTCCGGTGCCCTCTGGGCTTGCACTACCTCCACTCACATTCCCACACATTGTAAACTATCATGTTTTAGGACTGAGTGCATGTACTTTGGTAATAGAGACAACAGAGTGCATACTTGCAAGATGGTGCCTGTGTCTCACACGAAGTGACGTACCTTCACGTTCCCTATTGGCTGCTGAACCCAAACTTTCATTACATGGTTGATATTAAGATTCTGAACAAAAACAATTGTGATATTTGAAATATTTAACATCACTGTGCTGACAGTAAAGGCCTCACTACTTTCCACTGTAGGCATGTGACAGCCGAGCTCTGCAGGGCGATGGGACAAAACACTACGGGGGGTCCAGCACTGCCAAGAACTGACAAGGACCTGCTCTGCTTTACGCCACTGCAGCTGACACACATAAATCTAAACCTCCTAAGCAGCTCCTCTGTCACACACATGCAAACATAAAACATAGACACCATCAAACATCTGTGCATGAACTTAGGCTCAGTCATGCAGGAGGGAGGGAAAATAAATAAATAACTAAACGTGAAACAACTGTGCATAATTCAAGTTCTCTTTTTGGCAGTGCACCTCATGTGAGCCGGTGAGTCGTCAAATGTGTGTTTGCGTAATCCCGGCCAATTCAAACAGTTTTGTTACGATAAAGAATGGGGGATTAGATTATGGAGCTTCAAAGCCAAATATAGAAAACGCATGTGAGGGATTAGAGACACATCAAAGAATAAGGATGGAGAATACATTAGGGTGCAGTTTCATCTTCCATCTCCCTCTCTCTGTCTCGATTCTCATCTTCTTCATTGAAAGAAGCAACGTGACGCACAGGTTTGAGCAGTTAAAAGAACATTGGACTCCCTTGGCATTAAACATCTCATCTTAATTCAATACACAAGGCTGACACATGGGTTATACATGTCTCAGTATATGGTGGCGTACTGTGTTAGAAATGTGGCGGTGGATGATTTTTGTATGTGTGCATGATGTATATTGATGTCTTTTGCATTATTTTCCATCAGTGTGGCTATAATTATGTCTTATTTCAGAATAATATACTCAACATTTAAAAAATAGCCACAAACAGACTGCGTTACATTAAAGTTATGAATCATAATTCTTGTTTTCAGGTCAGGGTATAATCACATGCTGCAGAAATGAGAAGATGGGCCACAAGCAATATTCATGAAGTGTATCTGTGTGTGTGTGTGTGTGTGTGTGTGTGTGTGTGTGTGTGTTGTTGGAAGAAGAAAAGTGTCATATCCAAAGAGGGAGAATGAATTGCTGACTCCACCGTGACTGACAGAACCCGAGGGCGGCTGGAACGATTGTATTTGAATGCCTCTTATGTAATTAGGGTGCTGTTATTTTGACTATATGAAGCCCTAAATGCAGGGATTATGCTGCAGTTTGGCAGTTGCAATATTAAAATATCTTCAGGGTTTTAGTAACCCACACAGTACGGTTATGAAATGTGCTTTTTACATTGTGCTGAGGAGGAGGAACAAATCAGCCAGAGTGGATTTGAAAACTGTAAACATGCCTGTAGAGGAATAAAAAGCACTTAACATATGCTCAGGAACACAGTGCAGCCTAATTGCGTGATAGTTAGTGTGGTCTTAAAAGTTCACCAGACGAAGTACGTTGAGTGTGTGCATTTGTGTGTGAACGCCATCCTTGTTTGTGTGTTTTGTTGTGTTGCGGTGGCTGGTGGCCAGTTCCCAGCAGATCTGGGAGGATTGTAGCTTTATCCTCATAACTGGATGTTAATCTTGTGTGGAATCCAGCACTGCTTCCGGGGAACAGAGTCTGTGCAGCACTAACATCGCCACCTGGTCCTCGGGACACAGACACACACACACACAAACACACACTGTTATGGAGTCATAAGCTGCTCTGCGCACACAGAATGGGTTTATAGTTCATGCAATCATTTGCAGACTGTGTTTCATTACATAAAAGTGATTGTTGTTTGTGGCTGTGCGGGGACTATTTTCTGCACTCAGACAGAGAGCAATGTGTCAGCTGAGTTGGCATCTATGTATCACACAGGATAAGTAGGAAAAAGCCACCTAGATAAAGTTGTAATTGTGAAATAGTTAACTCAGCTGTGTTGGTGTTAAATTGGGAAATAACGTACAGCAGTTCAGACATGACTGTTCATAGCAAACTGTCAGTATTGAGCATGACTCATAGCTAACAAGAACGATGGGGATTTGGAAAAGTTGGAGTTTTCTCTGCAAGAAAACACTGCCAACATCACTGACAGCTGTAGTGGCACTGAACATGTGGTAAAGTCACTTTGCATGGATCAGTTAAAGCAGTCCAGCAGAAACCTGGCTGTGTGTCTGCATGTTGGAAAAAACACACTTGAGAAGGGAAACTGAGAAAAGTTGCTGGGACGTATCCAGGAAGATCATCATATCTGTTTGACTCAACTCAAAGAAAGCATTTCAGTTTCCTCTTTTTAAGAAATCTGACTCAGCAGGACAGGGAAGTGGGCAGAGAGTAACTTCCCATTCAAACCAGGGCAAATTAACTCCATCTTCTGCAGGAACATAATAACCTCTGTATGAAGTTCAACCTTTGACCTTTGAGGCGTTTCAAAGCGGTGGCCCCTCCTCTCCGTCATGGGAACAGTCTCCCCTGTTTATGGGAGTTTAACGGACCTCAGATGTGCCGCTGGCAGTCGGTGAGCTGTAAGTGTGTTATCTTTGCTGCCCGCTGTGGGTGTGTCACTGGGCGGGGCCACACAGGCTCATCGAGCCTGCTGATTGGTCTCTTTAATTCAATAAAGGCGGGGCTTATTCAGCAGTTGGTCCAACTGCATGTCAGTCGAATGCGATTATGCTGCGTTCAGGAGCTCCTTGTATTATTGTGTTGTCATGAAAGGTGCAGTTAAATTACAAATCTAAGCACATTGACTGTATTTAAGTACAATTCTGAGTTACATTACTTGTTTAGGCTACTTCTATTTCATGCTACTGCCACTCCACTATATTTCAGACACAAGTATTCTACTTCTCACCACTTCACCTCATTTATTTATCAGCTATAGGTTCAGAATCAGCTGTACTGCTCAACTACTAGGCATACAAGGAATTTAACACCAGTTTATGTGATGGAAAAATAGCAGTGCACACTACTCCAGATGCGTCACATCACTTTCACAGATGTGTAGCTGAACCACGTTTGTTCCTGTTCATTTTGCCCACATTAAATAAGTAAATTTATCTGTGAATGCTGGTGATCTGTTTGTTTTAACACCACTTTATAAAACAATATACAGTTATGAGGGACCATTCTGCCTCTGACTAAATATGTTTGATACTTCAACTTGGCTACAGTCGCTAATAACTCTTGAGTAGTTTTAATTGTGATATAGTTTTTTGTATTGTGGTATTGCAATACTGTAAAGGGGCACTCCACACCAATTTTACACATCAAGTTCAGCTTATTTTTCAGGGGGAGTAGGCTACTCAGGCTAATCAAAGTTAAAAATGGTCTTTTGTGGCTCTGCAGGGAGTTCTCCAGAGTATGAAAAATAACCCTGATGATGTCATAGGGGTTATATCAGATTAGTCTGGAAACTTGAATCTTATACAAAAAGCATTTGGAGTTTGAAAGAAGTGGCCATTGGGGATCTAACGAAAGATGCTATTCAGTTGTATTCCATATCTGGCTTAAAGGCAGATTATCTCAGACTTTGCTGCATCTGCTTTGACCACTGTTGTTTTAATATATCTCATGTGAGCCCCCAAATTTATGGAAATGCTATTTTATATTGCTGGAATTGCCTACCCCTTTAAGTAAAGGGTCACCATCCTTCTATGCCTTTGTGTGCCTATATAGCACATTCTTCTTGTTTGGAGATGTTTTGCATTTGCACAATACAGAATAACAGCAGCTGAGCCAGCATTGCCCCGACTAGAATCCATAGTAATGGGTTGAGTGTGGCAATTGGTAAATAATTAGCCTATTTATTTACAGTTTTCCATTTGAATTGTATTTCTGGGTGAAATTATTCTCCATAACCCCCTGTAGTGGACTTTTAGTTGGATGGAGTTGATTTTGGACAGAGCATAGTCTTTTGCACCAGCGCTTCAAAGGTGTATCCAATATTTCCGATAGCCCCTGAAGGCAGCATTACCCCCTCCAGTTTACGGTCTCAGCGCCGCTTCAACGTGATCGCGTCTCTCTCACAGAAACTGTGTGGTTTCTGAGCAGCGCTCACACGCCTCGCTCATACGCACTTTAAACAGGATGTAGCTGCTGAGACAGACTACGGAAAGACAGAAAAAGCGGGTTAAACACTGCGATGTGACAAACACCAGTGAGCCAGAAAATGCCCACCACAGCGGAGGAGAAGAAGACAGGAGGAGTCCCGATGAGGCAGCTCACCGCCGGCAGGTCTTGACGGCTGCTCCCGCTGACCTGAGACGCCCAGCACCGCCGCAGCACCGCGCGGTCTACACACACTGAAAACCCAACATAGCCGAAACACTCAACATCCCATCGGTGAACCTTATAAACGACAATGGCGAGCCAGGGCGACTGCTGTGTGAAGGTTGCACTGAGGTAAGCCTCCGACGTCTGTCTGCTGGAAATCTGCCGACCTTAGCAGACCATATTGTGTCTGTGCCTCCTGGCGATTGATTAAATGCATCCTGCACACCTACAGTCTTATTTCACTGCTTACGCTCCTCACTGTCTCTGATCAGTGCAGGATCAGCTACACAGAGGAGCATTACACCTTGTTTTGTAATACATGGGTGGTGCTCTGCTCAGTATTGATAAGGCAAAGCATGTGCCAGCACCACGCTATCTCCATATGATTGTCTTTATATTGGGGGGCATAAGTCCTCCCCAGCATTAGTTCATTGTATGTGATGCAGGGAGCTTGCATTCATGATTAACATTGGGTGAAGTGACAAGGGCAGCTGCAGCCAGGTGCAGGGAGGAGAATGGGCGTTTCTCCTTAAACCAATTTTTGGATTATTATTCTCAAAGGCAACTACCTGCAGTCTCACCTTATCATAACCGAGGCTTGTTATACATCCAACACGTGCATGGTTCAGTGAGGTCCACAACCAGCTTGTGTGTGTGTTTTTTTTACCCTGCCTCTGCAAATGAATCGAGCACAAAGAGATGCTCTCCTTCAGAGCTGTGTCATTCACTGCCTTTGTTGGAAATACACCCAAAAGCTCGGGCAGCAGAGCAGCTTTTGGATTTGTGTCAAGAGATATTAGCAGCTCATCGATTGTGTGTGCCAAGAGAATAAATGCAGATAGAGAAATCACATAAATGTGCATGTGCTGGCACTGGGCACCACTAAAAAACTCATGACTTGAGTGTGATTGGGGCTGCATCTGTAATCATGCTCATTTTGCAGTGTGTGGAGCTGAGGCGGTGGTCTGACAGACCCACTGTCCTTTAACTCAGACCCTCCCAGATTCTGTCACATCGGCTAATGAATCCCACTTGGTTATAATGAGAGTCCTTTATAAGAAGATTGAGAGAAAATAGGCCCACACCCTCTCTCATTATGAAAATGTAAAGCAACTGCAAAAAACTAATAGTGAAATTTAACTGTTCTTCATCGTCCTCCAGCCCCAGTTTGGGAACCATTGATTGAAGTGGGGGGTTGAGGATGGGGTCGACCCAGTGGTGCAGCCTTTTAAGATGAGCCTTACAACCGATGGCCCCATTTCCCCAGGGGAGGTTTCAGAGTCACTTGTCAATCAGCCGCTGAGTGAATCTCCTTTGTGCTTGTTCACAGCAGCAACTGTAACAGGAAGTGGGGTGATGTGGCGTTGCCAAAAAAGAGTCAAAGAGGAAAGGTGAAAAGAGAAGCTACTGAGGCAGCTGGTGGCTGCTGCTCAACTCAAGTTATTGATCACAGTCTGGAGAGCAGAGGCTCATTGTGTAAGTGTAACTGAATGAGGGAAGGTGACGGATATCGCTTACACACACCGCACGTACGCCCGCGTGTTTAGCTGTCTTCCCTTTTTTTTTTTGGTGATGCAATATTGACATCATCAGTGTGTAAGCATATTGTCAAACTTGGCAAAAGAGGGTCAAGTCAACACAGAGCGTTATCTTCATCACCACAGTACCTTTAAAGAGCAGTGAGAAGGATTTAGTGGCATCTAATGGTAAGGATATCAGATTGCAACCAGCTGAAACTTCTCCCAGGTGCCAAGTGTTAACTCCTGGTTAGGATTCCTTTTTTACCGGGAGCCGAATTATCCACAGAAGTCTCCTCTTCTTCAAAACAAGGGGATTAAACCTGGTAAAAACACTGACTACAGCAGTTTCACAGATGGGCCGCTAGCCCAGCACATGCTAATATTTGCTTGCCTTTTTCCTCTGGTAACTTAAGATCCAGATGTTCAGGAGGTTTTAACCAGGAGCTGAACTATCCGCAGAGGTCTCCTCTTCTCCAAAAGAAATGGACCCGGGGATTTAAACCAGTAAAAACAATGAATAAAGCAGTTTCACGTTAAAAATCAGTGTTTTTTCAGTGCTGTTTGGCTCATTGCAAAAAGGCTGCTCACTACAATGGTGGCAGCGAAAACTGTATATTAAATAAGCTGTTTCGTTTGTCCGTTCTGGGCTGCTGTAGAAACATGGTGGTCCAACATGGTGGACAACATGAACTAGGACCCACTCCCCATGTACATAGATATAAATGGCTCATTTTAAGGTAACGAAAATCCAACAATTCTTATCTTATCTAAGGTGACTATATATTAAAGGAAACATACTTGCACTTTGGCCAATATATCCTCCCAAATCCTACACACTGGACCTTTAAACCAGTTTTATTAGCCCATACTTCACATTGTAATTAAACAGACTTTCCATAATTACATGACTATGCTGGTGGGCGAGCTCTCTCCTTTTCATCATGTGTGATCTGTGTGAGTATTTACATGCCCTGTGAGTGCCACCAAAAGCGTCAGTGTGTTTGACAGGAAATGGGAAGCCCACAAATAAACACACGGAGAATGATAACTTCCTGCCGCATAAGGGACAGTTTTCCCAATGACCGCTGTGTGTCTTTTTTTCTCTCTCCCTGAGAAAGTCGGCTGCTGATAAGAGAGGATGGTGTTTAATTGCTCCCATGTTGCGCAGCCCTCGGGCACGCCGCATAAAGCTTGGGACCCTGTGTTTGTGTGTGCATGTGCGAGTATGCATTTGGAGGGCAATGAGGTTGTCTTGAGGGCCAACCAACACACACACACACACACAGTCTGAGTCGCCAGCATCCATTTCCTGAATGTCTGCGCTGCCTTCCCTAAACAATAGCCATGTAACCAGTGACATGACCTACAATCCTGCATTCAGACTGGACTGCCTGAGGAATGGACGTGGATATGCCACACACACTAACTTAAGTCAGTGGGTCTGCATTGCAGTCAAGTCAAACATGACGACATGCATGTAATGTAACTCCGTCCTAAGTGGCGGTTGTTAAATTGCTTCTGGCTTGGCTGTTTCATCTTCCCGCAGCTGCCTTCACTCAGAGGAAAAGCTTAGTCTGATGCAAAGAGGCTATAAGAATAAGTAGACTCCTACATTTCCTGAGTCTCACCCATTTGAACCCCCACTCACAATCACATCCATACACAGACATACGAGCGGTTTCACTTCACCTCGAGGGTGCCTCCTCTTCTCGTTGATGTTGCCTTGAGTGCTGCATTTGCTCCGGATTGAAAGCTTTGCATTAGGGCTGGCTCTGAGCGTGCATGTGCTGCTATAAATGTCAATAGTCCAGCTTTTGTGTGTATGCATGTACTTTGGGTGCGACTTGACATGAGAGTTACGAGCAGTGTGTTAATACCTATTTGCATATTGATCTCTGTCTTGCTGTTTCTCTGCACCTCTGCCACTTAGTCATTTCAGACCGCCAAGCGACTCTTGTCTTCCACTAAAGTGCTAAGTCAGCCTCCATGGCTGCGTATAAATAGACACAAAGACCAATCTGTTTAGTGTGGTTGTAGTCTTTGACCTTGTGACTGCCGCTTGATGTTCTCACCTTTACAGAGTCTTCCTCAAGGCCTTCGTCTCTGTCTGATTTGAGATCTGAGGAATCACCAATAAATGATTCTACAGTCCTGTGTACTTCATGCATTTAATGTTCAAGGTGATGACAGTAATGGCGCAAAATGAAAAAAATAACTTCTGCCAACAGAGCACAAAATACCCAGTGTTGTTTTAGACCCTACAGGTGGATGACCGTGATGTTGTGGTGGAAAGTTATGACGCAGAGCATTGTAGCTGAAAGGCAATGGGAGTTCAGCTGATATAAAGATCAGCTTTTATCTGTACGGTTGTCAGCTAACATGCTGATCAACCAGTCCAAAAATATTGCTTTGCAGAAACACACAAGTTTTTCATGAATCCATAAAAGTGCTGCAGAGTTTTGCCACCCCGTGACCAAAACACTGACTTCAAAACAAAACAGCAGTAGCGGAATACAACTGCGGAAGAGGCCCCCTCACAGCTGATACACAAAGGCTTTAAATGGGAGTTTTTTTGTTGTAGGACGCATGTCCTGTGTCGGCTACCAGTCTCGCCTGTTTCCTGTGTGTGTTAACGGTTTGCTACACAGGCTCTGTCTGGGTTACACACCTCCCCAGGGGGTTGCCTTTAAAATGGCTGGACTCTGGTGGGAAACGGCGTTTATCATGTGTGTTACTCGGCTATCAGCCTACAGTATGTGCCAGTCACAGGCTAGTGCTGCAACATAATCTCCTCATGAGTGCATTCTTACACTTGGTCTCAACATTTATCCCCCTTTTGACTGGCTCGCTGCAGATTTACAGCCACCGGTCGAAAAAAGTGAAAGCAGTTTTGCTTTGTTGTTGGGAGTGGCCACTAAAGTTGTTTCTAATGAGTGATTTGGCCTCAACAAAGGGAAGAGGAGCAGGAAACATGACAGAGAACACACCCATGTTGGCTGTCCACAGCTGTGCATCGCTTCCTCCTCATGCTGGCCTGTTGGTCACATGTTTTTTTTGTTGTTGCCCTCCAAACCTATTGAAACTAACAGTTCTGTGTGAACGTCTTTTGTAGCAAGAGTGCGAAAGAAGTGGTCTTGTGTGTAGGGTACAGTATGTGTTGTATAAGCGTGTGCCACTGCAGTGTATATGAGAGAAACCTCTGAAAATTGGTCGGAATATCATGTTTAAACCAAATGACAGGGTGATGTGTAGATGCAAGATCATTTCATAACAGTATCAGGCTTTAAAAGATTAGTACTGTGTTTTGTTCATCACCTATAGTAACTGTTGCATAATCAGGCTCTACAGGCTCAGGGGCTTTACACACAGATTGTGGCTAAGGAGGTGAAAAAAGCAGGACAAAGATGTTAGCGAGGTTGCCAGGCTACAGTTTTAAATCCTAGTTTCCAAACAATAACACATACAGCATCTCCTGATGACACACCTGACAATAGGTGTTTAATGGAGATATTTCATTGTGCATCTGAGATGGCCTGACTGTCAAGGAAGTGGTGCTTGTGTATAGACTCTGACAGGGTGGAATTTATCACCCTATAGCTTGTGTATTTA